GGCGGGCGGCGGCGGGTTCTGTGTATTCTGTGTGTCCTATCGGGCGTGCACTCCACTGGAACCTTGGGTCCCTGCCTACTGTAGTTTGTATCTGCTGGGCACGGAAAGACTTTGACTTTCCTGGGTGAGCCCGGAGAGGGAGGAGAGGCAGCAAACTGTTGAAAGCTTGCAGTGGGGGAGGGGGAATTAAAATCGAGCAGGCAAATGGCAGAAAGGCAGAGGGAGTCATTTAAAATAGACCCTGTCAACACGAGATTAGAACCTGTAACCCTGTTGATGAGGACAGAGGCTTTATTTAAGAAAAATATTCTAAGGGCTGAAAGTGTCAGAGTTCAGGTAATTTCTAATGAATTCAGCTTTTCTTAACCCCGGGGACTTGATAAATGAACGGTCTTCAGGGACCTCTGAACCCTGCAAAACTAGGTGAAATTGTTTGTGCTTTTTTTTTTTTGGTGAGATAATTACAGCTTTGATTAACTGATTCTCAAAGGGTCAGTTACCTCCCTCCCCGCCCCCCCCCCAAAAAAAGTTAGAAAGCTGGAAGTAAGGGAACTCTAGGTGCTCCACTTTGAGGAGCTGTCGTTTTTAGATTGCTACCTGCCTCTTCTGCCTCCTTCATGAATACGTTCCCAAGCTCCCTAAGTCAGAGCTGTGGCTGGGGCCCCTTAGCTCTCACCTCTCGTGGAGATGCGTGGAGAAGCTGCATCCGGGTGGCAGTGCCACAGAGTGCACGGTGCCATCAGCTGGCTGTGTGCCACATGTATCTTGTTGGGGCCCTAGGGAGAAGTATAGGTGGCTCTGTATGAATCCATCGCATCTGGGGGAAAACATCTCAAAGGGTGAATCTCACAAACGTGGTGCTAATGAGGCGCTCTAATTTTTTTATGGATGGCTTTATTTGAATCCATCATACACAGGGAAGATCATCTCTGAGAGCCCCACACATGTGCTTGCTTTTATTGATGGCTTTATTTGAATTCACAGCTGGGGAAATCATCTCTAAGGGAGTCCCACCAATGAGGTGCTACTAAGTACACTTATGAAAAGCACAGCCACCCCTGTGAATGATTTCCATCATGTAATTAAGTCAGCCTGTGAAACAATTTGCGTTCACAGGAGTAGATAAGTGTATGTAAGGCTATTTAAAATAAGTTCTTGGAGCATGAGGCAAAGAAAGGACATTTCATTTAAAAGGAAGTCTTCAGCCGGCTGTGTCAACTGTGAAATTCCATTAAAGAACAGTTAGCCTGCTGATGTCTTTTGCAGGAAGTATAGGTAAGTTAGAAAAGGCACTCCAACAAACAAAGCTAGGCTAGCTAATGTCTTTCCATTATCAGTTGCTCTGGAGGAATTGCCCCTGGTGACCTGAAGTGGCAGGTCAGGTCACCAGGTGTAAGGTGAAGTGGAAAATAAAAGACTTCCTGAGGAATTCCTGTAACATTTCTCTACTTAACTATAAAGCAGCCACTGGGAAGTTCTAGGAAAATATTCACCAGGCTTGTCTAGCAGTGGTTTTAATTTTTTCAGTTTTCTTTCATTGTTTCTATGGGTCCTTAATTTATGAGTTTTATTTAAACATTAAAGCACTGATATTTTGAAACTAAATGTTTGGGTTTTAAGTATTTTGGGGGGATGACGAAGTTAATAATAAAGAAATGTGAAGTGCTTTGTAAACTTAAAACGCTGTGTGAAGCAAGAGATTATGACTAATAACCTTCTGAAAATTAATGGAGTTCATCCTAGTTGGAATGGTGTTTGCAATTTAATGCCCATGTCAAGGTTCTCTGCTTAGAGAGTAAATTCTCTAAAGTAATTTACAAGAACAAAATAGCCTCTGTGCTTCAAATGCTATTGGCTTTCAGTAAAAATTAGATCATAATCTCAAATGCAAACAGGAATAATACTGTGTAAGATCTGGCTCCTTTAAAGCCAAAATTTAATGTTAAGAGTGGTGCTGTTTGGCAATTTCTAGGCAAATATTTTAAACAAATTCATAACAAATGACGAAGCCACTTTTTAACTGTCTGTTGAGAGAAAAAACTATTTTCATTTGGTCTTTAGGGACCAAATTAAGCCATTTCTATTTTTTCTCCTCGTAAGGTTCTTTATATTTTTATATTGTAGCCAATAACTTTGAATATACAATTCTTGTCTCAAAACTTAAGGACCTATAACACTGTAAACACTTGGAAAGAACCTTGATACGTTGAAATAGTTCAGTGAGCCTTTAGGGCCAGATAGATTTTTTTTTTTTTTTTCAGAGTTGAATTTACATAGTAACCTAAGCTATTTAGGCCTGTTTTTCCTATCAAATCATTGGGTTTTATGTGCAGACCTTTAACCTGGAGAGTGCTTTGCCACATAACTGGCTTAAAACATGGCATCCAATACAAAATATATTAAGATATTTTGTTCTTGTTTGTTTTTCAGGGGGTTTGGGAAACAAGGCTTCCAGTGCCAAGGTAAGCTGCCATACTGGATTTTGTTTTCAAGCACAACATGAAAATGAGCATTCCACACAGGAACAGTATTTCCAGTTAGCTTTTCTTTGTCATCCAAAAAAAAAAAAAAAAAAAGATTATTTGGATATTTTTGAAATACGAGAGCTGTAAATTGGGGCCTTAAAAAAAAAAAAAATCATGTGGTATTGCCTAGTCATCTGCATATAGAGCTGCCTCTTTGTTGGAGGAAAAAACCTTTCTATAATTTTCTTTTGCCAAGAACATTCTTGTCAGAAACTGCTGTCTTCGTGTGGGTGTTCAGAAAAGGAATCTCTCTGTAATCCTGTGGTTTTTTTCCTTCTTCCTCTGTTTTCGTTGTTCATCTCATATGCATTGAGTTGGACTCCTAATTAATTTTAGGCATACATTATACTAATAAGTTTTTTTGTTTGTTTTGATTACTAATTGTCATCCAAAACAAAGTTTGCACATTTTAAAATAGATGACTGGTTACTGTAGTATGAGGCCCGTTTTTCCTTTGGCTTAAATATGTGACAACATATAGTATCTGTTTTCATCCAGAAAAAAGTCAGTCTCTTCCTGATTTATAGTTACATTTCACACATATCAAATATCTAACTTTTCATACTCCATTTGCTTAAACGTTTTATTTATTTTTCTAAAAACCATTTTATAGCTCGTGAAGGCATCCCAGGTTGATTAGCCCACGTTCTGGCTCTCACCATCTATACTATGTTTATTTAGTTCTGGTTACATTTCCCATCTGGGCACAGGTTTATTAGGGCAAGTGGAAAGTACATCCTAGCCTGGAAAATATCCTAACACTATTTAATAAGCACATTAGAGAAGCACTGTTTGTACTTCTTGTAACTTTAAAATTGTGCTAGTAAGTTCATTACCATTAAAATCTGAAAATTTGTGAATTTGTTTCTTATATACATTTTCTAAACGTTTTAAATACAGGTATTTTATGGTGTAATTATTTAATACTCCACCTTTCTCCACAGTGTGCTTAAAACCTTTGTTGAATAAAACATTTTGAGTTACTTTGGGAAATCAAGGGACATTCCTTTAAAAAAGAATGAAGAAAAGGCATGTTGCATTAGTCTCTTTATGAAAGATGAACATGTAGCTCTTCCCATTTCCCGGAGCTGGGGAGCGGAACTTCGTAGGCAATATTTGGGCCTAGGCTTGAACGTGATTTTAGGAAGCTTAAAAATGTAAACTTGTGATTTTGGGCTAACGCGATTCACATCTCATGTTTTTGGTGGTGGTTGTGTGGGGACCTATGGAAACTTATTAAAAAGTGTTTGCTAAATTTTCTAAATATTATCAAGTACAAAGTGGGTATGTTATGTTTAAAAACTATCATTTTCTGCATGTAAAGAACTCAGGATAATATTGGTTCTTTTTAGACCCCTCGTCTGAGCAAATTTTGTTGATGAAATCAACAAGTGGGTGGGTTAGTAGGCCGTGGGAGGCGGGCGGGGCGGAGAAGACCTGAATGGTTTTCCCAGAGAGTATCTATTGAACTTTTAGTGGATTAGCAGATTAATAGTCTGTCAGCATAGTTCCTTTTTACTTAAATTATAAAAGTGATACAAAAATTGCAAACACCGTATAAAATAAAATTGAATATACCCTTCTCCCTTCTACTTAAGACATCCATTCATTCAATCACATATATTTTGTTATTTAAAAAGATCAAATTCTTAATCATTCTGCAATTTAAGTTTTTCACTCAGTAGTATGAGGTGGATATTCTTCCATGTCAAAACATCAATTTTATCTCACTTGGTGTTGCATATGCGAATATCTCAAATTTATTCAACGATTTCTCCGCTGATGGATATTTTAATTGTTTCTAAGTTCTTACTAGTACAAATACTACTGTCAATATCCTTGGACACTAGTATAGGTATTTCTACGATACCTAGAAGTCTGTGTGTACATTTAAAATTTTAATGAGTACAGGTAAGTTGCTCTCCAAATAGGTTCCAATTCACATTGTCAGTATTGATGTATGAGAAGTACACCTTTCCCTTCATTCTTACTAGTATTGGATGATATCAATCTTTTATGTTTTTGCTCTGGTAGGTGAAAAAGGGCTTTTTTTTTTTCCCATCTCCTGGATGAGGGTGTTTCTTCAAACATGTTTTAGCCATTTGTATTTTTCCTGCGAATTACCTTACTTTACCTGATACTTGAATTCAGGATTTACAAATGAGACAATTTAGAGCTGTGACTCCATGCTTTCTGGACTGTTCTTTGCTTTGGCGAAGAGTTAAACCTTATGTCTCTTTAATGAGTTCCCATACTGCATTTATAAATTTTAACCGACAAACCATTTCAAGTGTAAACCCATTCGTAACATGCTGTTCCATTTTGTTTAGTATGTCACCTATGTTGGACTTCCAGTAGGTACATGCTAGTCCATTATATCTTATTGTTTGTTGTAAACTAAGGACATATTGGCTCAGAACAATGCTTTTTAATTGTACAAATACAAGTTACCTGACATTTCCTAGTTGGGTGCTCTCAAAAATTTTTCTAACATCTGACCATTTAAAAATGTTTTCTCATTGTACTCTAGACTTTTCCTCTTGGTTCTGTTTGATAGTCTCAGTTTTATTCAGTGGAATAACATTCTTATCTGTGCCTTTGGCAGCACTTCCTCTGGGGTGGCAGCTGGAGTTTGAGACTGCTCTTGCTTCCCATCAGTTCTCTCACTCGGTGGAGGCAGAGCGTCTTCTAGCTCTATGTCATGTTGCTTTGGTCAGTAGAGAAATATCTATAGCAGAATTTGCTTTTATAAACCAGAGGTGCATCTGCTCCAGATGAGTCATACATTCATGTGGTAAGACAGCTTTCAGCCTAAAACGTTTGCCATCATTTTACTTAGTAAATGTTAAGTCAGAATCGGAAGACTAAAGAAATGAGTTTTAGTCCTTAAAACTGGGTTTGTAATCTATGCCATTTACAATGCATTACATTTTACAAGCATGTACTAAAAGCATGTAAGAGTACTTCTCACTTCTCCCCTTCTCCAAGATACAGCGTGAATGGAAGCAGGAAACGCTTCTGAAGAGAGATTTATTGGGTTGTTCCCACGTTCACTTAGTGGACTCCATGCCATTCTTATATTGAAATACAGTTACAACCGTGAACATTGACATTGCTAGGGCAGGTAACACAGGAGGATCCCATCGTGGGAATTGCCTGTCTGAAATAGTGAAACCAAGGGCCTTAAACACTTGGGAGAAGGGCGCAGGGTAGACCTAGAAGCTGTGAAGCACTTTTCTTAAGGTTCTTAGAGATGAAGACAAGCTTGTCCTTTTGTATTGCAGGTCTGAAATGACCCTTGAAATGACATGACTCGAATTTGCCTTTCGATTTTTTTTGGCATAACATCTTGTGGGTTCATGTGATCTGCTCAGTGTTTGTTTCATTTCCACGAGGCTGGTGGAGAGCTGCTCCTTGCCCATATGTTTTTTTCAGAGAAAGAGGGAGAAAAGGAGGTAGGCTTGTCTGGCTTGGTCCTCAATGAAGCTGAGATTCACTTGGAAGATCTGTTCTCCAATGGGGAGTTTCTGTCTTGCCCTGGCTGCTTCCAAAACCATTTGTCCCAGAGCAGAACAATCCACCGAGCTGTCGAAGGTTCTCCTGGTCTGGGGCACCGGAGCCTAAACAGTCTTATCTATTACTTTCACTACTGGAAAAGGGGATGAGCCAACTCAATTTTTTTTTCCTCCTCAGAGTTAGCAAGACTCACGTGCTTCTCCAGTTACAGTGATAGAAACCGCCTCTCCGACTGTGACCCGCTTACATGACATGCCAGTTACTCACGTAGTCTGTTAGATCTGGTTCTCCTCAACCTGTTTCCCCTGCCTTTTCTCTTCTTTCCCTTTTGTTTGATGTCACAAATTAGAATGTACTGCCAGCCTGTGCTTTCAAGCTGCCACCGTGAAGCACTTTTGAATCTCGAGCCATTTCCCTGCTAAGAACATACCAAATACTGTCATTAACACCGAAGCTCTGTATTTTCCAGTAGTTAAGGGTTAAAAATCAGCTCGCCTTCACTGACATTTCATTTTGAAGGCCTATTTCAGGGTAGATATTGTCCATCGGCTCACCTGAGCAGGATGGTGTTTTATACTTCTCCTGTAAGAAGGTAGGTTGATGTGTGTGGGAAGAAGAAAAATGAGTTCCCCTTGGCTGTATGACCTAAGAATTCCAGAAAACCAAGCTGATAGAAGGGTGACTTTCAAGAGAAAGTGAATCGAGTTGGCAGCTTTTAAGGAAAGGGTGTCTATTCTTGTAGTCCACTGGGTTCTGAGAGGCAAGCAGCGTGGACACCAAGCGCCAGGAACTAGAAGGGAACCGAGGTCTGAGGTGGGCAGAATTGCAAGGTTGGCCTCCTTCAAAAGAGTGCTTGTCCTTCTCGCGGACTGTTGGCCACCCTTAAGCTCAGCTCACTTGTTTTCAAAGGCGATGCTGGGATTTTCCATCCTTTATCTTCAAAACAGGGATCAGCAGCCTGGCCCCTCACTTCTCATTGGTTACTGCCCCGCAAATTGGAAGCTGTGTTAACCAAAGATGAGCTCTTGGGGTGATCTATACAGTTCCAGATAGGCCCACAGAAGAGTGAGTATAATTTAAAACTGGGAGGTTTTGAACTGAGGTCAGATCAAAGCATTTCAGCTTCAAAGCATGTCAGTAATACCTACAATACAGAAAAGTGCAGTGGAGCTGGGCAGTTAGAAATGCTTTTCTTTTAATAGTTTTTTTCTCTGCAGAGATGCATTAATGCTTGTTAGGAATAGGGCCACGTGGATGAAGCTTTTGTTGGGTGTTCCCATTTGTTGCTGTATACCTGCCACAGAGTGATTTCTGATTAATGGCTTTTGAAAGCGTACTTAGTACATCAGGTGAAAGTTATTTTATACACACACACCTCCCACCAGAAGCTGATGTTGCAGCCTATGAAGTGACTATCCTAG